AAAAAAAAAACACATTCGTGACTGAGAAAAAAAGCGGTTGCTGTTGTTTGAAATGTAAAGCTGTTCAGTGAGCGTTAGACGCTTTTGCCGTGCTGTTCAGATTTCAGCGCATGATAGCTAAAGCATACAACATTCAAGAATGGTAAAAAAAAAAACAAAAAAACATACGCTCGACGACATGAAAAGGCAGGAGCCGGCAGTTGCCAAACTTTTCTTTTCTTATTCTCCTGGCATAGGAAACCAGGACAGTAACGCGATACCCGTCCACATGATGGTGCGAGAGTGCTGGCACGTGGGTACGTTCTCGACGAAATCTAACGCGAGACAGTACTAAAAAAACAAACACCAAAACGTGGTTTCACATAGAAGCGACAAACAAGACACCCAAAACTGAGGACCAAGTCTCATGGGTACACACGCTTGCTTTTTTCTATGCATTTTGCATTCCTGTTGCCAGAAACGTTTCGGGTTTCATCAACGCCTCGTCACTTCTTCGTTGGCAAAGACATCGTGTGTATTTGGCGTCGGATGACAGAATTGCCTGCCTGTCTTGGGATGCTTTGGTTGTTCCTTTCCCCAACATTGTTTGGAGAGCTGCCTCGCAATGTCGAGTAACCTGAGAACGTACAAACGAAAATACGGAAGAAAGAAAGATCTGATCAATGTATGCCGCGAATAAACACGAATCTGAGATATGCTGTATTGACGTCGTACTCCGAGGATCGAAGTGTGCGAGCCGTCTACAGAGTTGTATTTTTTTTCACCGTCTCTCTGTCTCGTTAAGAAACTTCTAGGAGAGTTTCAGACTGTTCTTTTGTATTTAAAATGTGTTGTCTGAAGAAGTATTCGTAGAAAAATTCTTAAGATAAAGTTTTTTTTTATGAAAAACTTCAGTTTTTATTAAAAAAAGTTGCATAGTGTGTGTATGTGTGTGTGTGTGTGTGCGCGTGTGTGTGCGTGTGTGTGTGTGTGTGTGTGTGTGTGTTCATTTGAATAGAAAGATGGTCGTTGTGTCGAGGCTGTCGTGTGATTGGGGGGGGGGGGGGGGGAGGGGGGCGAGGAGTCGTCAAGCTGCATTTATGCAGTTTTTTTCCTCGGTCTCCTTTCATCATTAATGTGATGGAGAAATAAAAATTTATTATTACTATTATAGTTGTTGAAAAGCGTTCTCAGCAGACGATTTTTCTTATATTGCGAGATCCTTTTTTTTTTTTGCATTCATGAGAAATATATCCGTACGATACGGTTTTCTTTTTCTTTCTTTTTTGGCTTAAGAAAGGTTTACCGTATGTACGAACTGCAAGAAGGACAAAGACCTTCGTCAGGCACTTTTTTTTTTCTTTAGTCTCTGTTCCCCTTTCGGTTTATCCCAAAAGAAATAAGCTTCAAACTTCAAAGGGATCTGAAGTGGTTCTGTATTTGAGTAAAAATACTCAAATCTTCTTCATTTGACCTCCAGGATCACGACTATCAAGATTATCTTTTTTTTTCAATTTGGTGCGTCGAGGCTGCAGAAAATCATTTTTAAAGTACCGCCGAAGCCACTCCTTCCTGTAGATTGAAGTCATATCCAGAGTTCTCGGAATCTCCGCTCTCGCGATTTTTTATCCCCTATCAAATCTATATACTAAATGCGCACGCTCTTTTGCTATTTAAAAAAAAAAAAAAGGTCAGAAAAAGACGTCCCGACTGATGTCGGCGCGGGGGAGTATAGACCCTTTACACACGCGCCAGATTACAGCCGCCATTGCTGACCCTCTCTCGGTTTTACCGAGACACCGAAACGGGCGTTGACGAACCTCCACAGAGGCCTATGCTGGGAAGAAGAACACTATAGAACCTCATAGGAGAGTGGCCTGGCCTGCTATGGTGATGACAAAGTTAAGTAAACGGAATAAGAGGAAACAAGAAATGAATGTCGGTCATGGCGGCTCCCATGCACAGCTGCTGCAAAGCCTCTGTACCTAGCAAGCTTGCAAATGCACGCGCTGCCCACACGAGCGACACGAACTTGGCGGCCCAAAGATCCTAGTATGACGTCACGTCTGGTCGGAGGTGGTTCGTGTTTTCTCGTGTTTAGTTACATCTACGGGGAAAACGAACGTGGTATTCAGATTCCCGGAATTAAAATACTCTAAAATTTACCTCTGACTAATGTTTTTTTTTTTTTTTTTGAAGAACCTATTTGGTTTTTTTTTAAACTGTGAGTTCAAAACTCTTTTTTTTTCCTCTTAAGTTCTAGGAGTCATGCTGCGTCTTGTCAAAATGATGCCAGAGCGCTCTTTTAACTTCTTAAACCAAGGGGAACACCATTAGCGCGCACCTCACTTATCTCACTTATCCATGCACGGACCACCGCACCTAAAATAAAACACACAACAACGTCTTCCGACATCCCGGAAAACGGAATTTGTATGCATTCACACGTTCTTCTCGCTGATTAGTCTGAGGAGGCTACTCTGAAACTTAGGAACATTCCTTGCTTTCGAGCATGCGTCGACATGTGCACACCTTCTCGCAAAGCATGTAGGTTGCGGCGACAGTATTGTTACTGCCTACGTGTGCCGTAACGCGGTCGCCCTCTTTTATTTTGTTATTTTGTTGCTGGAGCCGGTTCCAAACAGACTGGGAAAGTAGTCCTTTGCAAGTAACAGATCACTTGTAATCCTTTGCTTTTTCGAGTAATTTTGTAATTGCCTCGTTCCATTTTTTTGTTTTCGGCAGTAATTTGTAATGTAATTTCGTTGCAAATATTGGTAACGGATTACTTCAATAACTCGTTACGTTTGTAAAAAGGATAATGAACACATTACAGAAATTGGACCTATATGATTAGGCAATTCAGCAGCATAAAGATAGCAAGTTCAACAAAATAGAAATCACCTTGAAGAAGAGAATAACCGGAAAGAGAACACGATTTTTTGCATGACCGGGTACTAGAATTACTAGAAAAACATCCAATGCATATACAAATATGCCGAAAACAAAGATTAAAAAACCGTAGTCGTTGTCTTCTTGATCTCCTAGCGGAGGTAGACGCCGCTACTGAGCATGCGCACCGCTAGCTTTGTCTCCAGAATTCCAGGGATCATTTCCGGTCGCCGTAAGCTAGCGGGATGGCAGATGTGGTTGCAGCTTTCGCTGTCTTCTCAGCCCACAGATGAATGGAGCGCACCTACATTTTTTTTCTCTTAAAAACGGTGCTTTGTTTTAACAAGGTCTACCATAATACGATCGTATGAGAAATGGAACGTAGTGTTCCAGAACATTATTGAAGACATAACAATTGTTATTATTGTTTCTTGATAAGTGTGCTGGAAAAGTAACGTGAAAGTAATTAATAATGTAACAAGTAAAGTAATCCGTTACTTTTCAACAAACGTATTTTGTAACGGTAATCCATTAGATTTGAGGGTCGGAAATTTGTAATTGTAATCCATTACATTTTTCGAGTTCATGGCCTGGTTCCAAGCCATGACCAAATTAAACTTCACTTTAGCGTCAAACTCTGGTGTAATCTAAAGGCATGGTGTGTTCCATAGTGTTTCAGACAATGCTAATGCACTTTAAACATAAACTAATTATTTATTCGCCCTCCAACTTCATTCAGCACGTACACAAATTATTCTATTGGTGCTGAACTTTGCGTAGACATTTTAGCCTAAACACTTGACTGCACATTCGGCACAATTGAAAGAAAATAAAACGCAGTTTTTGACGAAAAAGTATAATTATATTATTGTATTTTCACCTATTTCATGTTAATGATCCTTATATATTTTTTCAAGCTTTCGTTTACACACAGTGACACTGATTTTCCTCTACATTATTGCTTCCTGGCCATATATATTACCGTTCCAGCGCCGGTTTGGATACCAGTGTTAAAATAAAAGATTCGTATGCAAAGGTCGGGCATCTAAAAAATGTCAACCGGTTTAACTTTCGCCAGTCTCAGTTAACTGTCACAGCCCCAGGACGAAAGCTGTTTAACCTGCAGTTTGCCCGCCAACACAGACAAACATGCGACCAGCTTAGTGGCCATAGTAAGGAGGAAGTGTGAGTTTGTTTCTAAACATGACACAAAGCTTGACCCAGAAAGTTTAACCCTTCAATAGAGGCGCGGCTAATTTCCAGCGTTCGAGGGCTTACCGTGCATAGTTCACTAACGCGAAGTATATTACGTCGCATATCGTGATTTATTTTTTACTATGGAGGGTCGGCCTTTCAATGTTATTTTAAGCATAGTGTCAGCATGTCACTATACCCTGTTGCAGATTACGAAAAACAGAAAAAGCTCCTCCCACAAATCCTCCACCCTTTCCAATTGGCAGAGCGAACGCCGGAGAATAGAGTCCCTCTTCGCCTCGTATTGCCTCCTCGCCAGTATTGGCTCTTTTCTGTCGTCCCCTCTTGTAAAGTGGAAAGATCTTGTCCTACCTTTTTAAATCAATAGCTTTAAGAAGCTCGTATCGCAGAAAAGCCGGCGTCGGTGGCGGATGGGAACATCTTGAATGGTCGATAGGGTCGTGACGTCACAGCCATATGATCTCGCTAGTGTCCCAAATGATTCTACTTTATAAAGTGATTTACTTGCCTTAAAGGCGTAAACTGAGGAACATTAGGCGGGCGGGATTCGAACCCGCGACCCTTCGGTTGCGATCCAGTCACGCAACCGGCAGGGGGACGCAGACTCTCTTACCCAGTCTGCGGGCCTGGGAACGAGCAGAGGTTTATATTTAGCTATCGCGTTCCACTCTTCAAGGAGAAGCTTAAGCGTCTTCCTGTAATATTGTAACCTGCAACAGGGTTCAATACAACTTGTATAGATTGTGGTCTGCTAAGTTTTAGCGATATTTTGCTCAGTCAACAACACCCTTGCTGTACGGTTCACCGTGCGTCGTTCTCCGATGGTGGGCTAAACATTTGCCTATTAACTGATTCCGTTAGCGAGTCATATCTCTTGGAAAAAAACCGGCCGCCCTTCTCTCGACATGTTCCAGTGAGCGGTGGGCACACGGCCGAGATCCTCCTGCTGGGCAACGTGGAGCATCCGTACAGCCTTGTGGAGTACCGCGGCCTCTCGGTCAGCGAATGCGGCGAGACGTGTCTCAGGAACGCCCTGTTCCCGTGCCGCTCCTTCCTGTTCGGCCGGAGCTCCGACCGGGAGACCTTCTGCGGGCTCACCCACCAGAACAGGGCGGGACTCCTGCAGAACCCCGGGAGCTTCGAGCCTTCGCAGAGCCTCAACTACTACGAGATCGCGAGGAACCTGGACGGTGAGAAGGGTTGCGTCTTGAGGAGGTCTTCTTGCCCCCTTCAAAACTGAAAGGTGGTCCATAGTGGAGCGCCTTTTTACAGCGGAGCTGTTAAGGGCTAGTTTACCCAGGATCGTGTCCTCCGCAAAGAAATGAAGACACCCAACTCTGGACACCTGCCGGCATCTATGAGCGACGGCGGCAAGCCACGTATCTGGTTGCCGCCGTCACTCATAGATGGCGGCATTTTATCCACTCCGGCTTGCCAACTTGCGGCCGGCCATTACTTTCCATTGTACTGCTCCGCTGGTCTTCCTTCTTCGCCAAAGTGGAAAGGCTAAAAGATTTTTTTTTTTTTTTTACGGTTAGAGATGTTTTACATGGGATAAGGGTACTGAAAGGGCTCAATCTAGGGTGCAAGTCTCTAGAACACCCTTTTTGCCCCTTTAAGCCGCGGTCGCATTGCTAGCATACATCATGTAAAAGACAGTGTGTAAGGCGTGTTACATGCTTGTATGACGTCATGTTAACTGGTCATCCAAAAAGAGTCGACAGAAATGATCGAATCGCAGACATATGTATAAAGCAAACGTGCTTTGAACATACCTGAGCAGTGTCACACGAGCTTTACGTGCGTAAAATATATCAGTGTGTAAACACTTGCAAGACGGACCTGGCCTAGCCCTTGCGCTTTAAGTTGTGACAACCTGACCATGCCCGTGTAGACGCTTTACGTCTGAAACATCGGGTGTCGTCGATTTCTATTATCGCACGAACAGCAAGCATGCACCAGTTTAATGCATTGTTCTTGTTGAACTTATTGGAGGGCATATAAAAAGTCGAAACGCGCGAAATTATAACAACAAACTCGAAATAGAACTTTCGAGAACGACGTGAAAAATGTGGACAGGAAAAGGTTGTTCATGAGTCACTAGTTCCGTTCCGCGGCTTTCCGCTTTGAAAACCCATCAATGCGACATCAACCTGCGCCTATGTAGATAATTATGTTCCCATGCCCAGCGGGAATTCAGCTTTACAATTCCGCTGGGCTGTTGCTTATTATGCAGAAGGTCCGCAAGTCGGATGTTCTCTCTTATTCGGAAGTTGAAAATACTAGTTTTAGTGTAGTGTTTTTTTTTTGTTTTTTTTTTTTGCGCTTTGCTGCGGCAGCGCTCAAGGAACGTTTTTTTTTTTTTTTTTTTAATGTTCTATATTTACTTACCCTTAGGAATCTGCGCACGCCGATAGAGTTTGTATTGTTATGTATATATGCAGTATGTATGGTAGGGCTGGGCAGTGGATCGATTAACCTGCCGATTAGTCGACTGGTGTTTTAATCTCGAATATCTTTTTTATTGATGAAGAAAAAGGAAAAAGAAAGAAAGACACGAAGAGAAAACACGGGAAGTTTCAAAAATTGTGGAGAAAAAAAAAGGTCTTCCGTGGTAAAACACTAGCATTTTGTATGACTGCTATCGAAAGAGTAAAACATTTGCTTTTTAAAATTTTTTGCCCGTGCTTTTAAGTGTGGTTAGTATCAAGGTGCAAATGAAGCTGCACCATTGATGACAGTAAAAATATAGGTAAAATGAAAATGTGTAGATTTGTCTATTTTTAGACTTCATGCATTGAGGCCGATTTATTAATCAACAGAAGGGTAGAGATGAATGGGGTAAAATATTTATTCGACGCCTAGCCCCAATTTTATGCTTAGTATTTCTGTCAAACAATTTTTTCCTGTCTTGCCTTCAAGTTTTTTGTTTTGTTTTTTTACTGAAGTTTGACATTTTTTGAATACACGAATATGTACATCACTGCTTAGAAGTGGAGAAACGTGTCTCTGTATTCTTTTCTAGTTTTCAGTGTCTCTAATGGACAATCTTTTCTAGGCCTTCTTTATTCATTTTTGTCATTATTCGAATTCCCATATTGCTGCTATTCAACGCAACTTAACTAGTGGGCTCTCTCTTGAGGTCAATCATTCTTTCTTTTTCCTCCTCCTATAGGTAATGAAAGCGCCTCAGCTTTGGTGGCGTGGAGTCAGTTGTCATTCCCGAGCTATAGCCGTGACAGGCCAGGAATATATTCTACTATTGAGCAGCATTTTCATGTCCGTTACTATGCCGAGAGCAAGTCGTCTGCTTCTTTTGCAGGGGTCATGGTGACGTCAGAAAGGCCCCTAGCTCTGATTGGCTCTGACTGAAAGATAGTGGGAAGACCTCAAAGCAAGCTGTCTCGAGCTCTACCCGCTATCCTTCATTCAGAACCAATCAGAGCTCAGCGTTCTGAGGTCAACACAAACCTTGCAAAAGAAGCAGACGAACTTGCGATCCACATAGCTTTAGGCCTACCCACTAATCCTCCCGCGCGCGCTCTCGTTTCCCCCTCTCACTCACTTTCTCGGCGCACACCAGGAGAAACGTTTTCGTAATATTACAGCATGCCGACCCGCGCTGGCGTGTTTCGCGATTCTGCGAAGCATATTGTCTCGGGGTGCCTTAAGCGCAAATTTAAGATGGCCTCGTGTCATCAATGAAACTTTGTTTCATCGTAAGTCCAGACGCAGCCGACGCTACAAGATGATGGGACCGACCGGAGAGAGTCAAAAGCGCATCGCCATATAGTGTTCGTCTTGCTTCTGTACGTGTTCTACCATCGCGGAACCAATCATATACAAAGAGGGCCTAGTGACTTGCGCTTTTTACGCTGCCTGATTGGCCCTATTAGCTCGGTCGGCTGCGTCTGGACTACAACTCAAGCGAAGTATACGAGCTGACGAAACGTAGGGCGTGACTTCTTAAGAAACGCAGACGTGCCCGCAGCGCCTTGGCCGAGTCTGCGCGTATACCGGCGGCCCCGTTTCTCAATTTCGCTCCAACGTAAAGGTTTAGCGTTTAACGCGAAACCTTTTACAAAGGTGCAAACCTTTTACAAAGCTTTCGCACCTTCACACTCGGAAACCTACCCACCTCCGGCGTTGCTTGGCAGCTGGTTCTCGCGTCGTTCGACCCGCATGAGTTGCTCGGAGCTCGGATTCATTGTGACCTCCGCAGTTATAGGGGCGGCGACGACGGCAACGTACCGCCATACTGTTCCGTTTGTCTTGTGCTGGAATGTGCCTCTACGAAGCTCTTGTGAGTTCGATGATCCACACCTCTATGGGACGACATTCACCAGTGTCAGGGATATAGATAAAATCAACATGAGAAGAAGGTTTGACCCTTTTGTTTATCAGATTGCTGCTCTTCGCTTGCTGGCGGATCAAGCAGACGTATATCCGGCGACTGTGAGAATGAGACGATCGCGGCTGTTTTCGGCAGCGCGTGCTGGCGCAGCGCTGCGACAATGCATCACAGCGCACTGTGATGCATTATCGGTGTCATAAGAATATCGCCAAAACAAATAGGCACCTCTTTTTCTTTTAGCCTTATTTCTGTTTTGAAAGCCTCGGTACAATCCAATTTGTACCAGATATCCCAGATGTGCCTTACGTCGGCAGTTTCGATTAGAAAGGGCAATACACGTTGTTCGGCTGGATCATTAGGGGGAAAATGCAGCGAGACACACGAACAGGGCTACGAAGTACGCACACACCCTTCAAATGAAACGGTGCAGTAAAGCCAAAGGAAGGCGTACGAAACTCGTAAAACAAGGGATAAATCTTAGTGACGGTTGAGAAGTAACCGAAATTGTCCAGATGTATAAGGAAAGCCAATTCCGTGACAGAAACATCGAATATATCTCGTGTGGATGACATCGTTGGCCAGGGGAATTTTATTTTTAGAAGGGGAATAGAACGAATGTTTGTTTATTTCCTTACCCTAAGCAATCTGAGCGTGACCAAAGCAAATCCTGCAAAGCCGCCTGATATTACCTTGTCGGATGGGCACCTTCCTATTGTTGGAGACTATACAATCACTGCTGGTATCAGTTTACGGCTACCAGTTTGTCCAATCACTGCCAGGAGCAATAAACAGTTTCTCTGCTTGAGCAATCAGCAACTACTATTTAGACAGTGCTCGGGCCAATAAACGAACGGCACTGATTAGTACTAAACTGGAGGACAGTAATAATGATAATCTTTGTTAGACTCCTTGAGTGACGGGTTGGGGGGAGAGAATTTCAGAAGATAAACATATTTTACCTGACGATGCCCCACTAAATAAATTTCTGAGTAACAAAAAAAAAAAAACATAACACGAAGAAGAAACAAATAAACAATCGAATCAATCAATAATATAACGCGGTACCAGACTGACACACAAGTCTCCTTCATTGACCCTTTGTCTCATATAGAACAAACTGGTATGCTAGTTAGTTAAAAATATTGAAATGAATACAACGGAAAAGGGACAAGGACGAGTAGAAGGAGAAAACATAAGTTAGTCAATGACTAGTAGTAGTCCTTAACTGATAAGGAAAGGGGCTAGTAGGGGAAGAACGTTAGTTTAAACTCATCAGTTGTACTTTCTTCTCCTTATAAAACTCCTTGACAGTGAGACAGGTTAAGAACCGAGAAGCTCCGCCCCCAGCACGGGCCCCTTTTCTTTGCCGGGCTTTGGCTGCGCGTGTGACAAATTCCTATCAAGGGCAGAATGCTCGCGCCGAGGTGGAGCATCTACTCGCCTTTTAACCTGTCACCGACTGTATGTGATTATGACCGAAGAACTTCTATGGAGTTCGCTTATCCTATGGCGTGTCCACAGCCTGCGATGACGAAGACGTCAAGTTCGAGCTGGTCTCGGGCAAATACATGACCGACCGTCCGATGAAGTCGTCCCAGACGTCCTCTGCCCACGAGTGCCTCAACCTTTGCCGCGGCGAGCCCAAGTGCCGCTCGGTGTCGTACGACTACCGACGCCGCCTCTGCCACGCTCACTCGGACACGCTGAGGACGGGCGCCGACACCAACGTCAAGAACGACCCGCAGATGAACTACTTCGAAAAGGTCTGCATTTCGAGTAAGTAAAAACCATGTTCGTGAATCCACTGAGCTGTCATTCAAGAGGCCCTTTGTTAGTATGTCCGAATGAGATAACTTCTGGTGTTTAAAACGTCCTCCGTTTTATGGAATGTTCCAAGATAAGCTAGAGAAATACCTTACAACCCCGAAAAGGGATTCCGACCTCGCTTTCTCTTTTTCCTGCTTTATCTCTCCCCAACAGCGGACGTTAATCCAGGATTTTAACGGTAATATAGCGGCCTTGTTTTACGAGCATTTCAGAGACGTTCAAAACAAAGGCCTTGGAAGAACCGCCAAAACCAGCGCACGACAAGAGGACAGCACAGGGTCAAGATCGCGAGTCGACTTGCCCATTCTACAATGACCTCCAGTCTCAAATGCATTTGAAATATCCGTAAAACAGCGCTATTATTTGATTCCGCTGTTTTTCTTTGCAGTTATGCCAAGAGCAAAAGTGTCGTCATATGACTCCCGATAACTTGATCAACATGCATGACTTTGTCTTTTCTCTTCCGGGGAAATGCCTTTTCGCTTCTGTGGAAAAGACTAATCTATCGTTCTTATAATCTTATAGTTCCTAAGGATTCGGTACGAAAATATGCTCGTGTTCCACTAACTTACGAGTAACCATAACAACACAAGTTTTAAAGAGACAGCCCGTGCCCGTGCTTCTTGTCTACACACGCGATGATACAGATCCTGAACCCGAACTTTTTAGAAAGGAGGCTCTACTCACAGACGCAGGTGCTGTATACCAGACCGTGCATCTTAAGGAATATGGTTTGAAATTGGATGTTGTCCAATTGTACTACGCGCCGTATTTACACTTGTTGACGCCATCGTTTTACAGCGAGAACCGTTATTAAGGAGCTTCGATATATCATACCGATACCTCCGATAATGATAAGATGCATACGCTAAGGCGTCGGCGGAGTATCGCCTATCATCATTGGAGTCACCCCAACAGTCTACTAAAACTCTCCACTGGCAAGGTTTCGTAGCGTATCCCAAATTGTGTTTCCTGTAGTGTCATCGTGGCTAAGCAATTTCTCCGTTGAATTCTGCGGGATGATCTGTCGGCTAAAGCAGCGGAAAATATGTTTCCGCTAAATTTAGTCGCAATATTTCTCCGCTGAACAACACGTGAGACCTTAACGCGACAGTGACGTGATACCGTTATATTACCGACGCTGTGACGTCACGTAATATTTTACGTCACGTGTTACGGTGACGTCACACGGCGTCATGGCTATTGTGCAGTGTAAATGCTTGTAGTCTATGCGCAGGTGAGCGTGCAGCCCCTCGGTTGTCGCCGTAGTTCATTCGCAGGACACGACAAGAAACTGGCAGTTTTTCGGTGCCTTCTAAAGCCCGTCTTCTCTCGATGGCACAGCGGGCAACGTGTGCGACAAGTACTGGGCCTTCGAGCGCGTTCCTGGCAAGGAGCTGGCCCTGGGCGCGGCCACGTCCAAGGTCATCGTGGAAGCCAACACGAGGGAGGAGTGTCAGGCGGCCTGTCTGGCCCACAGGGACTTCCTCTGCCACTCGGCCGAGTTCAACTATCAGCTGAGCGAGTGCAGGCTCAGCCCGTACTCTCGCTTCACCAGTCCAGCCGCCGAGGCGAAGCTGGAGGACTCCAAGTTCGTTGTGGACTACTTCGAGAACAACTGCTTCAAAGGTACGATCCTCCGCCTGCATTTTACTCAATTATACATCTGAAACACTGAATACTTCTTAATCCAAACCCCCTAATATTGGTCCGTTCGTACTTCCCCCCATTCGTGCATTTCCCTCTATATTTAGCGGGAAAATGACCGTCACGTGACGTTATGGTATCACGTGACAGAATTCCTTGACGCCGTTATGTCAGGTCACGTGACGCAAGATCATGTGCTCTGATGTCACGCAATAGGGTCGCGTGATGTAACGCCGCGATGTCGTCTGATACTTGACGTCACGTGACCACATAGCGTGACTTCAGGTCGCCTGATGTGAGCGGATAAATTAAGAACACGTTCTTCACTCGTTCTTCACTCCTCAAAGCGACTATTTAATGTCTTCTAAATAACTTTGAATTATCGCTTTTCAAATACAGCATTTCGTGTATTATAGAACTTTGAACAGAAAGGTCTCTGCTAATTCGTTTCATTTTGCGAGTACCCTAAGTGCTCCCCCTGTCACTACAGTTGCGTACTAGGCGGGGTTGCAGCAGATCTTGCTACTTATGCATATCCGTCAATTTATTATCCTCGTCGTTGGCACCCAGCAGTGGGGTCTGAATACGGCTTTTGTTTGACACGTATCTCTCTTCTATTGACTCTCGCCAAAAGAGATAGCCCTACAGTTTCTCTCTTCTGGGTCCAACCAATTAATTATGTTGGATTAAAACTTGGACTTGGGCAATGATGATGATGCGCAACAACGCGGGGGGACATCTTGCTGACAACTGCAGGAGATGCGCTGGCTGTAAGCCTTTTTTAGTTGCAACAAAGTTTTTTTTAAAGTGGCAAAAGATAAAACCGAGAGAGAGATTATGGAGGGGTTTTTTTGCATCAAAAAGGAAAGGTGACAACTACGTTAGCATGCTTTTCTTTTTCTGCACCAAAGCGAAGTAACTTTTCTAAATACCTGAATGTGAGAGTGGTGATTGGTTGTATTGCAGGTGTGAGGAAACGATTTTATGTATACAAGTGACGATGCTTTTTCCAATCAAACTAGTTATGAGTTAGCGCGCTTCCTGTCGTGTTCGTGAATTTATTTTCCTTGTTTTTTTTGTTGTCTTTTTTCTTGCGCTTTTTAACCTTTTAAATCACTGAACTATCTTGGTGGAGAGAAACGAGTGAACTTTGTCGGAGGCCTTTTTTTTATATTAAGCGTTACACTTAGTTCTTCTTGATCCTTTGTAGACCCTTTTCCGAATTCAGCACCATCTGGTGGCTCCAAATGCACTTTCACTTTCGACAAGTTAATGGCGCCTACGAAATTGTATTTCATTGGGCACCGCCGTCACTTTCACGGGTCAAAGGCAGATTAACATAACCTCTTCGATCACCTCACAATTTTTCTTGATTTGTTTCAGTTTCGATGGTGTGAACATAAGAGCTGTTTATTGAACATAAGAACTAGCGACTCATAAGCCCCTTGACTAGATTTTTGTCATAAAAAGGCTTTAGAGCCAACTTTGTACCAAGAGATTGATTGGACCAAACTCTGAAATAACCCTTTACGCAGCCGTGTATCTAATTCGTGTGTCGTGATGCACTGACGTCTCGAACGTACAGTCCTTGTATATTCTCCAATTGGTAGTATGTTCAACCTCTTTCTTCCGTAGCCTCAACGACGCCGTCATTAGTTAGGCACCGATGCAATGCAATGAAATGATGATAGCAATCAAGGTTCCACGACGAACCTGTGAAAACGGTCTATTGTCCTGGAATAGCTTAACCTGTTGGGCTATGCACCGAGTCTCACCTCCTCAAGTTCCGATGAAGCTCTTGTCTTTCTGCGTGATCTTTGTTCTGGTTTTCTTGCACTATTGATAAATTTAATACACGAGATATCTTTCTACGGAGAGAAAGATTGGGAGCTGTGGCTTGTCGGGATAGAATCTTGAATCCTGATCCCCCACTCCTCAGAGATCCGCGGTTTCTGCAACACCAAGAAGTACCGGGACCAGGAACTCATCCTGGCCGACTTGATCATCGGCACTCAGTCCCAGGAGGACTGTCTCCAGCGCTGCCTGCACAGCGGGGACTTTGTGTGTCGTTCCTTCAGCTTCGAGCGGGAGACGCAGACCTGCTTTCTCAGCCACCACACGCGCAAATCGGCGCCCGACGGTGCCACGCTCCGCCTACCGGGCACGGACCTCGTAGAGCTCGGCGCCTGCTTTGACGGTAAGTCCGTGTGGGCGTACAGCATTAACAAGGTGGCGCCCCCCCCTTTTCACGTGACAGTAAAGATCAGAAACTGCGGTCGCACTGCTCATATTGTCGCGGACTGAAAAGGACAAACAATCGTAAAACTAAAGATAAAGGTTTATCGGCGAACTTGTGACCGAAACAAAGGAAAGAACGATCCGTCCAAGGGGCAGTGCGAGCACTGAGGTATCGCCGTGACAGCTGGCTAGTGCGAGAGTGACTCGGCGAGTTCATCTGGGCTCCTTATTACGCTCGGTATCTCGAACATTCGACCTAGAATGTTCGAGCGTCGAACGCGAATCTTCTCGAAGTAGGGAGAAGCGTTCCCTCTCGGCCATGCGCGCGGTAATATGCCATACAAGACAGGGTTCTGCATGTTCGCCTCACATACATGATTCCTTCGAACGTGTCTGCAGACAGTTCTTGTACGACGAATGTCTTTTGTACAATGTATTAGCTGCGTTACTTAAATTAAAGGGGCGAAGCTCAACTCAAACCACGGAGGACGTTTGCAATATAATGGCGGACCTCTCCTGGGCAGATCAGGTGCGTATACGCATGCGTGAGCTGTGGAATGGCGAGGAGGTTTAGCCGGCGTAGAGGCCGAGGAAAGCTTTGAGACGCTTGCAGACGATCGACGCTTTCTCCTCCCCCCTCGCAGCCTAATACACCTACTCAAAACTGTCTGACGTCACTCCACTGTGGTGGCTCTGCTGTCGGCTCTGCGCATGCGTAGAATCTTGGCCTGATGCGAATCTGGTCAGACGCGGGCTTGCTTGCAAACGGTGTGTTGATGTATATTGTGAGCGCGTCCATTAAACCACGTGACCGACCATCGAACAGCTCGAAACACTTTCAGATGTAGGGGACACTGCGTCACAGCACCGTCACCCACGGGGTCGGAAAATAAAAATCGATATGATTTTAATCGTGATCCGAAGCTTGACTTAAATCGTAATTTTAATCGGACGAGTTTTACTATCAGGCCTGATTTAAATCAAATCTTTTCCGCAAAACGTAATCGCGAAAATAGTTATTATTTACCGTTTGTCTAACTATAGGCCAACTCATGTTAACAAACAAACCGGAGCGGCCCTAGCGGACGCCATCGGTACCGCGCATGCGCTATGGAGTGTAGGCAAGAAGGTCGCTATCGCCCATAAACAAACCATTGAAATGTAGTTTAGTAAGGTACGTTGTTGGGCTAGTTTGTTCATCTTAGTAAAACATATAAAATAGCGCAACAGAAAACAAGGACAAGAAGTACAAGAAGTAAACAGGACAGGCGCTGTCCTGTTTACTTCTTGTCCTTGTTTTCTGTTGCGCTATTTTATATGTTTTACCATTGAAATGAATGCGATGTTTTCGGCGTTGGTATGTGTCCCCGTGCTCTCTTTCGCGTTGGAATTGTTGATTCTACGTCTTCCTGGGCAATGTCTGACTACTTAAGTGGCCTCAGCGAAATTACTGAGGCTCGTTACACCGCAAAACTTCGTGTGAATAATGTGACATGTGGAGATTCATTCCGCGTGGACGTCGCAGAATGGACGCTAAAGCCTGATTCGTATGATAAGATTCCGCTCGCAATTTTCAGTCGCGACGTCACTCGAGCTGCAAAAGCGTGAACCGTATCTGAGATGGTCGACGTCGATACTGAAAATCGCAAGCAGAATCTGACCAAGTGAATTAGGCATAACAAGTTGGTGATGGTCTGGTAACAATGATCAACATCTCCTTGAATCTACTGTTTACATCGAGCCTGCTCACCCCAACCAAACTTCAAAGTTAAACGTCTTTGATGCCAGCACTTCTATGGGTCGGTGTTGTCTGAAAGAACAGACGACAAGCAGAAACGTTTGAAAGAGCCAACTGCAGTTCCAACGATCAGGTGTCGTTTGAACTTGAAGATGCCCTGAACGTAGTGGGCAGGTTGTCCGTACAACTTGACAGTATTCCCGCGTTCATGTTCGAGCAAGACAAATAAATCTGATGACCACAAGTATCCGTAAATTCAACCCAAAGTGCTTCCCGCCCAAGCAATCGTGGTCTGACGGCGTCGGGCCTTTCCTCTTCACGGCACATACTGCATTTACGTTCTCGGACCATCCGAGCACATGAAAACTGGCCTTCATACCTTCCTCGACTATTTTTGTACAGCCCCAGTCGCGGCGTTATGACGAGAAGGCAGGGTTTTGTCTGGTACCTTCCAAAACAACGCAGGAATGCACGTCTCGCATTGTGACTTCCACCCACAGCCCCAGACCGGAAGTGCGCTCGACGCCCCACCACCACGCCCTGACGTGACAGAGTTGAGTTTGTGTTTATGCTTTCTACGTGAATGATATGTGTAGCACTGAAATCCAAGATTTTTCAAGCAAGAAAGATCTATATTAGGCGCGGAGCACGAGCAGAAAGCACTTCTCTTAGCAAATCGGAGCATTAAGCTCTACATCTACCTTCCACATTGTTCGTCAATTACGTAACGTGCTATTGCAAGCAAAATAGAACACAGAAATAAACTAGGAAAGCAATGTCTTCTAGCAAGCCTATGAGCGCGCGAATGAAAAGCAAATAAAACGTTTAGCCAACTAATTACATGAGGCTATTTTTCTTCAAGTATGGCGGAGATTACATCAATAAGAAGGCGTTAATTAACCGTACTTTAAATCTACAGTAATTTCTTCTTCCGCATTGTTATCAGTGATCGGACGGATATATTAATCAATTTGCCATGTTTAAAAATATATGCAGTGATAACGAATCACTAATTTCTAGCTACATTAATTTAAATCAAATGAAACTGATTTAAATCAAATTATTCTAATTTAAAGTAAAAAAAAAACACATTTTTTAATAGTGTCGTTATTTATCTTTGTCATTTGTCTCGTTTTCGTACTCCTGGGCGGCAGCAATTTGACCGCCCCAAGGCGCCACAAGTATCGTGAAAGTATTAGTGTGCCTAAATTTAAGAGTGTCCTCAACTACTTGGTGGAGTTCACGTGGTTCACCGTCCGCGTTGCGAAAGCGTCGATAGCCTGGAAACGTCTCCAAGCTTTGCTCATCCTCCTTTCCCTCCACTACATTTCTCGTCACAGGGAAACGGACTTCATGCGCGTGAGCAAACAATCTGTGCAGGAAATGTCCGCCATTAAATTGCAAACGCGCTCCTTGGTTTGAGTTGCTCTATCCCTTGAATCTGGGCTCTCTAAAAACGAGAATTACGCCACACCGACGTTCGTTGTTGGCCCACCTAGGGCCATCTATCGCCATATGTTTGCACTATTAAATTTTCTAAACGATCATGAAACTTTAGGGCTGGGGCTCCAAACTCGTCAAACACGAAGTTCGGGCCAAAGTTCATGGAGCGCAGCGATTGGACTATCACGATGATGACGTCGTGCTTTTGTCGCCGGTGTCCAATCGGCGCGCTTCGCGAACTTTCGGCTACAACTTTGTGTTTGACGAGTTTAGGACCCCTGGAGGTGAAAGAGAAGGGCGGGCAGCTATCGCCTATCCAAGCTTGCAGCGAAACCTGGCGTGGTCTGCTGGCCGACATTGGAGACAGTGGAAAGGTGATTAAATGCACCGGACTACGGTTGCAAATATGACCGGTGTTGGTAGAAGAAGTTCGAGTTAAGTTCCCACCTCACTTTATCTCTTCAAGTTGTTTGAGAGAATGGCGTTACCTTATATCTATCTCGCCTCTAAGATCTCTGACGCGCTACGGCATTCCCTTTGAATTACAGAAGGAACAACAATGTAAAGAAATGAAGAGCGTGTGAAACATATAAGGGAATAACTTTAGGCCATTTAATTTTCCCTAAAATTAAAGCGCAACACTTAATAGCGTAAAGAAACTCTGGTACAAGGTTTTTTTCTTTTTTTTTTCCTTCCAAATACTATTCTACGGCTTGAAAAAAAAAAATGGTCGGGGCATAGGTTTACAATGCGGCACAAATTTCCGTAGAACCACGGCCACAACTGAAGAAACGTTTACGGGCCTTTGCCGCATGACGACGTCGGGTGCGCGCAAGAAGCGAATGCCTGTGGCTCGGAGTCCGGTAGAAGCATATGTGCAGCCCCCGCGCCTCCGTCTCTGAGGCGCATATACACGGAATTGCGTGCGTCTCGCTGAATCGCGCGAGAGGGTCGCGTGAACTGCCCGTGCCGTAGAGCACGCGAGCTCGGCCGCTGTCCAGAGCGATGAGCAAAGATTTCGGAATCATGGCTGCCGGTGCGGCGTCTATCGCCGTTTCAATCAGACAGGAGCGCGTCGCGTTGAAGCGAGCAAACGAGCGAGCCAGCAGATAAGAAAGGACGCGAGGGTACACAACAGCCGATGGGCTTTCAGGGAGGGAACGTCTTTGGGGAGCTCGGTGATGCAATTAGGTCAGCGCTCCGGAGTTATCTTTGTGACGTCACTTCCGTGATAAAGGTTTTGTGTCATCAACGTCCAACTCAAAAACCCAAAAAAAAAAAACACGTTAAAAAAACAAAAAAAGAAACTGCGTCGGCCGGGAATCGAACCCGGGCCACCCGCGTGGCAGGCGAGTATTCTACCACTGAACCACCGACGCTACGAACGTAGGAGATACGCGACTGTTTCAGCAGCCTGCTTCCAAGATGACCTCAATACCGAGCGTTGTAAGGACGTTTCAGCGCCAAAAATAGAGCTCGTGCCAGAGGCGGCTGTCTCGCAGCAGAACGAAAACGTCGGACTAATTATTGTATCGCCTTGATGACACTGTGCGTAACCAGCGCTATGACGGAGCCCGAGAAAGAAGTTCACTCATCAGAATTAAACCTCCATTGATTAGCTATGCAGACGTTACCGCAAGTCGATCGAGTGAACAGCTAATCTCAGGGGCTTTGCTTGGAGCACACGTCCACAGCTCCTCATTGATTGATTCGCCGAAAGAAAAAAGAAAAAAAGAACGACGATTATGGATAGAGTCTAGAAGACTTCATTCAACTTA